CTTCAACCAAAAATTCTCATCAAAAAAGCAACTGCACAGCTGTTTTTTTTTTTTTTTTTTGTAAAAATCTCTATTTTCCCACCTGGGATTCAGTATGGAAAATGGGTTTCTCTTCATTTTACCTGTTTATAGGTTTTCTTTGTCAGCCAGCACCCTGCTCTGCTCTCCTGCTTGCTCAGGTGTTGCAGCTTTCTGGGGCTCCAAGTATTTGTTGCAGATGAATTGCCTGAGAGCAGGGGATGGTTCTGGTGGTCTCAGGTGATTCTGCAGTGAAACACAGGAGGCTTGGCAGGACTAAGTTTGAACATTAGCCTTTTTACTACGTTCTTATTAAATTTCCCTTCCATTTTAGTGCTTCAGAAAGTAAAAAAAATAAGAAGAAAACAAAGCCTTAGACACATAAACTTTTGGCATTGCCATATTTAAGCTTTGGCATGCAACTCTGTGCAAGATGTAGCCCTCACTCAATGCCCTGTGAAATTTGGCTTCCCTTTAAGAAGGCTGCCTTGGATCTCACCAGTGTTTGTGTTGGTTTTATCAATGGGGCTGCTGGGAAATGTACCCACTGGGGTCAGGCTGGAGATTGCTGAATCTACACAAACCCCAAGCTGATGCTCACTGCTTCCAGCTGCCTCTTCCCTGCCAATACCTTCTCCTGGGCACTTTAAATACAGACACTGAAAGACATTTTGCTTTTTTTAATACATTCTGCTTCATGGGCCTGGTTCTTTAGCAGGGGAGGTCTGCAGGGTGCTTCTGTTGTCACCAAGAGGCAGTGGATGGATGGAAGAGATTATATGGAATATATTTTTAAGCCTTCTTTTTCATGTGCACTAGAGGAGGTTTAGATTGGATCTTGGGAACAATTTCTTTCCCAAAGGGCTGTCAGGCCCTGGCCCAGGCTGCCCAGGGCAGGGGGGGAGTCCCCATCCCTGGAGGGGTTTCAAAGCCTGTAGATGTGGTGCTGAGGGACATGGGGCAGTGGTGGCCTTGGCAGGGCTGGGGGAATGGTGGGACTTGCTGATCTTAAAGGTCTATTCCAACCTCAATGATTCTATCATTCTCTATGTACATTCCTTATTTTCTGCAGTAAACTTGAGTCTTGGCCAACTGCTGTCCTGTGCTGCTCCCAGGGCTTCAGTGGGAACTGGCTAAGGCCAGCAGGACTTCTCACCTGAAAAAAGGGCTCCTAGGAATGTCACCCCAGTGTGGCAGTGGCTCACAGAGTGGGACTGGGTTGTTAGCAGGAGTGGAGCACACCTGCAGGGATGCCAAGAGGAGGAGGGATGCCTGCTTTCTGCATGTTCTGTTGCCTTGTGTCTCTGCTTTGGCCATGGCAGTGATGACACTGCAGCTAAATAGGATCCCAGCTCACACGTGTGTCCCCATCTCATGGAGACCAGAGGTGAAGTTTGACCTTCAAGTCTTCCCAAACATTGTGCTGGTTCATTAATGGAGCATCTGCTTTGTTCCTGCTCAGTGAGGTGTGGGAGCCAGGCAGCACTGCCCAAGTAAAAAGATCATTTAACCCCCAGGTCTGCTGCTAGTGACAAGCTTTATTTAGTGTCCTTAAAGCAAATTGTGGAAGTACTTTCTGCAAACCTTCAGGTTTGGGAGGAGCATTTAAGAGTGGGTGCAGATGCTCAAGCAGAAAGTCCCCTTCCTGATTCACAAGCTGAGCTGGGTAATTGAGCACCTTGATAGCTGGGGGCTTTGGAGCTGCAGCTAATTACACCTTCAAAATTAAAATATCTTTAAAATCATGCACTGTACTTAACAAAGAATTTTTACTTGTTTTGGGAGCTAATTAGCTGTATTCACCTGCTTTTCTGATTCAGAGCTCACAGTAGGTCTCTACAACTGCTGAGAGGCAATTTGAAAGCCAAGTACCTAATGGTTAGTAGAGGAAACTCTCCTGTGGACTTTCCTCCTCTGGGTGCTCTTATGGGTCTCAGCCAGATGTCTGGCATGTGCCAGACCTAGTGATAGGCTGGAGAAGATTCCAGCACTACAGGATGGGTCAGCTTAAGAAGCTGAGCCTAGAGGAGGACCCAACTTCTGGAGCTGCCCTCTGCCTGTCTGTAAAGGACATCACGGCTTGTCTGATGGCTGTGCTGTCATTGCCTTCATGCAGGCTTAAAAGGAGCACAGGGTTGCCTACAAGTGAGGCTCAGGCCACTGCTGTGAATTGCTGTGAATGGATGTGGTCCTCAGGGAGTCTCCAAAGGCTCCTCTAAGTGTTCTGCCACCCCAAGCACTGACCACCTTTCTCCTCCACCCTCACTGTCCCATGGACCATCCCCCAGGAGAGGAGATCTTTCTGATGCTCTGCCACAGCCTCCTGCTCCCTGGGACTGCTGCTACCAGCACAGTGGCTGCCTGGTTTTCCTTCCTACCACGTTAGAAGTTCCCCTGGGTTATAAAGCAAGAGGCAAACGGCTCTATTTTAGGTTTCAGATGTTTTCTTCTCCTTTGTTTTGCAAGCTGGCTCATGAATATCCCAGGTTTGTACCCAGGACACAGTTACACATCATACTCCTTGGATGACTGCACGGGAGCACTTGTAGGTCCAGAAACTCTTCCTGGGGAAGAGGGCATGGCTGAGACCCCTGGTGCAGGTGGGCCTTTCTGTGGGAGAGAGACTGGGCTGCTCCAGGGCAGCCCTAGCTGCTCCTGCCACCTGTGTGCTCAGTGTTATTTTACACTCCTCATGGACACAAGGAGTTAGGAGGAGGATAGTAGTGATGGGGTGTCAGACTGAGCTAGGTGGGACCTCCTCATTCCTCCCTGGAGTGGAAGAGGCAAAGAGAAAGAGCCTGTTATGGGGTTTCTCTCTGAAGTTTGTGCTCACACCAAGGCTGGTGGGGCTGGTGTGGGTGAGCACAGGGGGTGCCAGGCCTCTCTGCTGCCTGGGGAGCTTCCTCATGGCAGCCTGTGGGGCTGGAGGCTGCCCTGGTGGGCAGCTGCTGCAGGGGGAAGCTTGGGAGGAGGAAGGAATGGTTTGGGTTTTTATCTCTTTCATGTCAGGGCTCCCACCTGCTTTACCAAAGTGCATGCTCAGGGGGAACCCAAGGTGTTCACAGGGGTGGCTGCACTTTCAGCCTGGAACCTGCTTTGAAACTTTAAAGTTGTTTTGAGGTCTAATCAGTACCAGTGAGGCCTTTGGGGAAAATAACATAAAGCTACAGTAATTATTGCCAGGGAAGAGAATGCCAAACCTTTGCTCACTGTTGATGCCCAGAGCTTAGCCTCACTCCTCATTATCCAGAAAACCCTGAGCACCCCAAACCTGCATGCCCACATGTTACCTGTGCAGTGAAAGCCTCTGCTGTGTCACTGCTGCTCAGCATTGGCAGCATTCTTACACACTGCACTCACCACCTCATCTATTAAACCTGCCATTAGTTGCCATAGTAACTAATTTTCCTTGATTAAGTTTTTAAGATGCCACATCCCTGCTCAGATGAGGCTACTGTGGGTGGGCAAGTGCAGCCCTTTTCTTCCTGAATTGCTGCTTTCAGGATTGTGCCCAGAGGCTGGTTTGGATTTTTGAAAGAGTTCTGC